CTAACACCCTAACACCCTAACACCCTAACACCCTAACACCCTAACACCCTAACACCCTAACACCCTAACACCCTAACACCCTAACACCCTAACACCCTAACACCCTAACACCCTAACACCCTAACACCCTAACACCCTAACACCCTAACACCCTAACACCCTAACACCCTAACACCCTAACACCCTAACACCCTAACACCCTAACACCCTAACACCCTAACACCCTAACACCCTAACACCCTAACACCCTAACACCCTAACACCCTAACACCCTAACACCCTAACACCCTAACACCCTAACACCCTAACACCCTAACACCCTAACACCCTAACACCCTAACACCCTAACACCCTAACACCCTAACACCCTAACACCCTAACACCCTAACACCCTAACACCCTAACACCCTAACACCCTAACACCCTAACACCCTAACACCCTAACACCCTAACACCCTAACACCCTAACACCCTAACACCCTAACACCCTAACACCCTAACACCCTAACACCCTAACACCCTAACACCCTAACACCCTAACACCCTAACACCCTAACACCCTAACACCCTAACACCCTAACACCCTAACACCCTAACACCCTAACACCCTAACACCCTAACACCCTAACACCCTAACACCCTAACACCCTAACACCCTAACACCCTAACACCCTAACACCCTAACACCCTAACACCCTAACACCCTAACACCCTAACACCCTAACACCCTAACACCCTAACACCCTAACACCCTAACACCCTAACACCCTAACACCCTAACACCCTAACACCCTAACACCCTAACACCCTAACACCCTAACACCCTAACACCCTAACACCCTAACACCCTAACACCCTAACACCCTAACACCCTAACACCCTAACACCCTAACACCCTAACACCCTAACACCCTAACACCCTAACACCCTAACACCCTAACACCCTAACACCCTAACACCCTAACACCCTAACACCCTAACACCCTAACACCCTAACACCCTAACACCCTAACACCCTAACACCCTAACACCCTAACACCCTAACACCCTAACACCCTAACACCCTAACACCCTAACACCCTAACACCCTAACACCCTAACACCCTAACACCCTAACACCCTAACACCCTAACACCCTAACACCCTAACACCCTAACACCCTAACACCCTAACACCCTAACACCCTAACACCCTAACACCCTAACACCCTAACACCCTAACACCCTAACACCCTAACACCCTAACACCCTAACACCCTAACACCCTAACACCCTAACACCCTAACACCCTAACACCCTAACACCCTAACACCCTAACACCCTAACACCCTAACACCCTAACACCCTAACACCCTAACACCCTAACACCCTCAACACCCTAACACCCTAACACCCTAACACCCTAACACCCTAACACCCTAACACCCTAACACCCTAACACCCTAACACCCTAACACCCTAACACCCTAACACCCTAACACCCTAACACCCTAACACCCTAACACCCTAACACCCTAACACCCTAACACCCTAACACCCTAACACCCTAACACCCTAACACCCTAACACCCTAACACCCTAACACCCTAACACCCTAACACCCTAACACCCTAACACCCTAACACCCTAACACCCTAACACCCTAACACCCTAACACCCTAACACCCTAACACCCTAACACCCTAACACCCTAACACCCTAACACCCTAACACCCTAACACCCTAACACCCTAACACCCTAACACCCTAACACCCTAACACCCTAACACCCTAACACCCTAACACCCTAACACCCTAACACCCTAACACCCTAACACCCTAACACCCTAACACCCTAACACCCTAACACCCTAACACCCTAACACCCTAACACCCTAACACCCTAACACCCTAACACCCTAACACCCTAACACCCTAACACCCTAACACCCTAACACCCTAACACCCTAACACCCTAACACCCTAACACCCTAACACCCTAACACCCTAACACCCTAACACCCTAACACCCTAACACCCTAACACCCTAACACCCTAACACCCTAACACCCTAACACCCTAACACCCTAACACCCTAACACCCTAACACCCTAACACCCTAACACCCTAACACCCTAACACCCTAACACCCTAACACCCTAACACCCTAACACCCTAACACCCTAACACCCTAACACCCTAACACCCTAACACCCTAACACCCTAACACCCTAACACCCTAACACCCTAACACCCTAACACCCTAACACCCTAACACCCTAACACCCTAACACCCTAACACCCTAACACCCTAACACCCTAACACCCTAACACCCTAACACCCTAACACCCTAACACCCTAACACCCTAACACCCTAACACCCTAACACCCTAACACCCTAACACCCTAACACCCTAACACCCTAACACCCTAACACCCTAACACCCTAACACCCTAACACCCTAACACCCTAACACCCTAACACCCTAACACCCTAACACCCTAACACCCTAACACCCTAACACCCTAACACCCTAACACCCTAACACCCTAACACCCTAACACCCTAACACCCTAACACCCTAACACCCTAACACCCTAACACCCTAACACCCTAACACCCTAACACCCTAACACCCTAACACCCTAACACCCTAACACCCTAACACCCTAACACCCTAACACCCTAACACCCTAACACCCTAACACCCTAACACCCTAACACCCTAACACCCTAACACCCTAACACCCTAACACCCTAACACCCTAACACCCTAACACCCTAACACCCTAACACCCTAACACCCTAACACCCTAACACCCTAACACCCTAACACCCTAACACCCTAACACCCTAACACCCTAACACCCTAACACCCTAACACCCTAACACCCTAACACCCTAACCCTAATTTTATGCTTATACCGCAAACAGATTTTTATTTCTTACTACTAAAACAAAACCATCAGAAAAATTTATATTATTTGTCATAAATCCATTAATAATCAAAATTTTTTATATAAACCTTTTTATTTAAATAATTATTACGAGTGTTAAATGCGCGCCCGAGCTACAATAATTTAAATAAGTCCATTTTAATAAAAATCGATTGAAGCACATTCCGAATTTATTATATAAAGCTAAACATATAAAATTTAACTTTTAGTTCTTAATATCCACTATTGTTGTTTGCATCAATGATTTTCGAAGTAGAAATTTTTGTAGCAAACAATTGAATTGCTGATAGTAGCAGAAATACTTGAAGCATTGATCGTTGAAGATCTAATAGATGATGAGCTTATAGTTGAACCAGATATAGTTGAAGATTTGATAGACGAAGCATACAGCGATTTTTGAATCAATGATGACTGAAGCAGACACTTTTAAAGCATGATAGCTAAGGAGATAATGCTTGAGGCTGAAATAGTTGAAATAATGATTGTTGAAAATTTGACAGATAAGTAGAAATAGTTGAAGCAGTAATTGTTGAAAATTTGACAGATGAAGTAGAAATATTTAAACAAGGACACTCGAATTAGAAATGCTTGGAGTAGAAATATTTGAAGCGGAGAGGGTTGAAGATGCGATACTTGAAGTAGAAATCTTCGAAGTAGAAATGGTGTCCTAAAAGCATATAGTCTGGATGAATTCCAAAATGATTTTCGAGTAAAAAATGCTTAAAATTTGGTGCTTCACCCTAAATATTTACTATTTTTTCTATGTCTCATCATAACAGATTTGTTTGCTTTAAAAGCAGCAACCCATATATCCAGTTTATATTATCTTAATCACTTTCAAAAGTAATATTTTTATTCTCCGCATAATTCATGAATTATTAGCATTTCATTGGTCCATTTCTCTTTTTCGAATCTTAAATCTGCTTAGCATGAAATAGTTTCTGATAGATAGGCTGGGCCATAGGTATCTTGCTTATTACAAATTGCTAAAATTGCATGTTTATCTGACAACCCTAAGCTTTAATTTTTTCAATGAGTTTTTCTCTTGGGTTTTTTTTATTCAGGTTTTATTGCTTGTCTGTATTAGATGTGCTATATCAAAATCCACAAGCAAATGTTTGTGAGCTAGCTCAAGCAGATAAAATTTAACCCTAGAGTGAATTTTTTAAGACTAATCTTTTGTTAGAGTCCTTATTGTGCTATATAACTTAAGTGATTATATATTGGCTTCTGAAATCCCAGTGGTCTTAAAAACTATTGTTGAAACACTCTCGATTGATAAAGATGGTATAATTTTTTCAAAAAATGTAATATTTTATTTAATTAGTAATCAAAATGTTACTTAAAAACACTAAGCTTGAAGAATTTATTATTAAAACAGCAAAATTAAGCTATAGATATAAGAAATTATTGTCTGTATTCCTTAGATTATTTCTAATCACAGATACCTCTAAGAATTCCCTTTTAAATAAGCTGTGCTTGCTTTAAGGTCTTTTTCATTTTATTACTAGTAATTAGTCAAATTTTGATATAAAAAATGAATTGAATAATTTTTCAGAATTAAAATATAATCTGTTGAGCAAGAAGAAATATGTGCATCAAGATATAATTTCTGTTTTGAATTATTTAATGTTTTCATTCTACGTTATATAAATTTATAGATGATTAGAGAATCCTATTTATTTCAAATTAAAGATTTAATTACCTGAATAAAGCCTTTTAGTTATTGGATTATGACTCTAAAAAATTCTTTGCCTAGTATTTTATTTAAAACTTCAGATTCTATTAAATTATGGTTTTTTCTTAAAAATCATAAAATTTAATATTATTAAAGATTATAAATGAAGCAAACGTCCTTATAAAATTAAAAAATAAAAATTCCTGAATTAAAAATCCTTTTCATATTTATTTAATAAGGTTGAATTTAAGGTCTATTTAGCCAATTAGGCTGAGATTTATTATTATAAATACTCTTAACTTATTTACTATTTTTTTTTTAACACTAGTTTTCGATCAATGATTTTTAGCTATGATTTAATCGTTCATATAATATTAAATAAGCAATGAACATAATAGAATTTTCTTTTATCATTGCAATTCTTGTGAGAAGTCAGATAGTTGTTGATATAGCCTGAAGCTCCTTCACAAATCCGAATTTCGCCTCAAATTTAACTGCTTTACTTCACCAAAATTTCCAAGATCAATTTGAATTTAACTTGGCTTATTTTGATACCTCTTCAACTCATCAACAGTTTCTGAACAGTCCAGATCTAATTTTTGATATTACCTTTAGTTCTTTTTTATCACAAAGAATAAGAGAATACACTGCTGAAAATCCTACCATAATAGCAAGTATCAGCAAATCAATTGGCGCATATTCTGATTGAGAATTTTTTATTCACAATTCGTGGGAAAACCAAATTGAAGCTTTATCCAGTATCATTTCTTATTTGAACTGGACAACTTTTATAGTGATTTCTGATAAGATTTATAATGAAGATGATGAGTTGTTTTTTAATTGTTTTTCCAAAAAAGATTACCATTGATTTTATTTCGCAAATAGCAATGATAAAAATTCTTCGGACTTATTTATTGGAAAGGTAATTCAGGCGATCGGGATAAAAAACATTGTGATATTAAATTTTGGGGAAAGCACAAACTTGCTGCTAAAAAGCCTATCTCAGAAAAGTTTGCTCACTAAAGGAACTGGAGTTATTGTAGGAAGTAAAGGCTCATGGGGTTTGTATGGAGATGGTATCATTGCTTATTCAGAATTAGGATTAGAAAGTGCTGATAGTTATTACAAATATGAAGGATTAGCATTCATAAAATTTTTGAATTTAATACTCAGCTTTCCTTTAGCATCCAATTCTTTGGAGTTAATTGGGTTTTTAAACAAAAATACAGTTGATCATCATCCATTCCCAAATTTTACTCTATTAAATATAGTCCATGCTTGATTTTAGATCACATATACAAAATACAAAGCATGGCAATCTCTCCCAATTAGTTTTTTCAAGTTTACGCAGGTAAATTACTTTAGAGTTGGCATTTCTGCCTTTGATCAGCCTGAGTTCTTAAAATAGCCTTTGGGCCTTTTGTAAGCCAGCAAACTTGCTTTACTCCTCGTAGACTGATTGCAACCAGTAGACCAATTTATTGGTGCACAAAAAGTTCAATGGCCTAAACTTATTGCTTAACATCCAGACGATCTATAATATAGAAAGAGCTATATCGAAGATAGTGAAAGATCAATCAAAGGAAAAATTTATAACGGAAATTTAACGATATCAAAATCCCTGATCTATCCAGGGAATTCTTCAATTATTCCTAACTCCCCTACCACAGACATAAATATATGAATCGCAGATGGAACAATAAATCCAGGAGGTGACTCTGATATATTGGCAACAACTCCAACAGCAGGAGCATTTTATGCTTTAAGCTATTGAAAAAGTATACATTCCTTGGATGGCTTTGAAGTCTCAGTAACTCATACAGACTGTGGGGCTACAGTATTTGATTTGACTTATGCATACTCCTGCTTTTCTAAATTACTAGCAACTCCTGGTGTTGGATATCTAACATCTCTCTATCCATATATAGCCATAGGTAACATTTTGGTATTAAGATCTTTGAATCTTTCAATACCCCACATTTCCCCTTATGCTCCTTCAACTCTTTCTCTTAATAACACCCTTTTCCCTGAGTTTATGACAATAATAAAAGACGAAGCTTTCAATACCCAGGTCATTTTAGATCTTGCAGTCATTTTTGGTTGGAAGCATTTTCTAGTCATTTATGATAAAAATAATTTAATGGCTTATAACTTTTTTCTATCAAAAGTCGAACAATATAACATGATCATTGCAAATGGCCCTGAACTGAGGCAAATGGATGCATACTACACAAGAGACAAATATCCTCACTGAAAAGATTGATTTGCAAGTATAATAAGCTTGAAGGTCAGATTTTTAGTTGCATTTTTAACACCTCCTTACGGATTTCACGTAGCTGAAAGCTTCTATGATGCAGGGATTAGAAAAGGCGACATGATAATCTTATGCAACGCAAGAATGTCATATGCATTTGATTGAGAAACCGATTTGGTCCAGCGACGAAAAGTCACTGAGGTATTTTATGGTGCGATTGCTGTTGCCCAAGCTGAGTGAATTGGAGAATATGGACAAATGCTTGTAAGAGGCTATTTAAAGGAGTATGTAAACCAATTAGAGTTTCGCTGCTTAGCATTTGATTCTGCAATGCTACTTCTAAATAGCATCTCATTTACTATAAAACAAGGTGAAAATGTGAAGGATTATGAAATATTGAACGCAAACATAAGAAAACAAAAATTTTTAGGCTGCTCTGGGACTGTGTCAATTGAGCCGGGAACTAATCAAAGAAGTTTGCCTACTTTCGGGATTTTCAGCTTAAGGTGAAATGATACTACTCAGAAGCTTTACGAAGAATCGGTGGGGTTGTATGATCTCAGCAGTGTACAATTAATTACTTTTTATAGCCAGATCTTATGATATGATAACACCACAAATCTGCCTTCAGATTTAATTATATATGAAAATGGCTGCCCATTTCCAGCTAAAATGATTCATAGGTCTAAAGCCGGTGCCGGTATGCTATATGGAATATCGATTGGGCTGATAGTTATCACGATTATTGAATCCTTTTTTATATGAAATAAATTTTTAAAAAACATCAGAATACAGAAATTAAAAATATCTGCATATGTTCAGTTTGAAGATTACTTCATGATGGCAATTTTGGCTATAGATTTTTTCCAATTTATTTCTCAAGGACCTGATATAAGTGGATTACATGAATGGCTGTCCTTACTCTGCACCTATACAATGACTAACTTTGATTCTACCGTTACAGGTGATATTTATTGGGTTTATTTATATACTGCTATGGCTATTTCTTGCTTTTGAGTTTTTACAGCTTTTTTATTGCTTTATCAGCTTAATGAATTTTTTAGTGAAATGCTAAAACGCGTGAAAAATATTTCTTTACTTTTGCTTCCTATAATTGGAAATATAGTGTTTGTGCCAATGGTGTCAGTGCTCTTAAGCATTTTTCAATGTGATCAAGGAATTAGCTCAAAAATTACAGATTCTTTTATAAGATATGATTGCACTACATATTGCTGGGATAATAGGTATACTTTATGAGGAATTTTTGCAATTATTTCCTTGCTAGTTTATATTCCTTTAACTATTTATTTAAGATATTATTATGAAATTGTTAATGATCATATTAACATCAGAACGAATCCGATTTTTATTATAGAAAAAGCAATCTGCCAAATAATTATTATTTTTATGAGCCGAACAGTCAAAGAGTATAACGAATCTTTGCACGGACTTTGTTGTTGCATCCTTTTTATTACAATGATTCTGCTGTGCTATAAGCAAGGCCCTTATAATTATCATAGAATGAATCTTTGAATTAGTATTTCTTATCTGGCTATTCTATGAAGTTTTATTTTGTCAAGTACTTATTGACTCACAGAAATTGATAATAAATTAATTTTTATAGCTTTACAATGTTTAGGCTGGCTTATCTTAATAGCTTCAGGTATTGCTATTCAATGCAAGTGATACCCAAACCTATTGAATACTGAGAAGGTTGTTGACATTGCGATTTTTTTTAAATTTGAAATAGGAAATAAAATTACAGCTGCTGAGCTCAATAGAATGAAAAAAGAGATAAGTAATTCAAACTACTCAACTAAAAGCAAAACATCAAATATAAATTGCACTCAAATTATTCCAACTATTAACGATAATATTATATCAGAATAATTATTATAATTAAATTTTTAGATATCTGTAAACTCTAAGCTAAATATCTAGCAATTAATTCAATGAATTTTATATATTTTATATATTTTGAATATAATAATTTGTTTGAAGTCTATAGGTATCTTAAATTGAGCAATATCATGTTTTGAACTTTTCTTTTTTCTTTCCTTTCCTATAGTGCCTCTTTATTGGAGCTCATAAAATGATTGCCAAAGAAAAGCATTATATAATCGCTTCCATTTACAAAACACTTGGCACATTCTAACTGAGAATTGTTTCATACTCAATGGGTAGTCAGCTTGCCTCACTTATTATTTAAAATGAGAAAGATTAATTGTAATTTCTGATGACTTACTAAGATAGTGGATTTTGAAATTATTTTTCGAATAAGAATTATCAATGATTTTACTTCTCAAGCATCTATAAAGAAAGCTTGACTGATTAATTAATTGGAAAAATAGTTCAAGCCAAATGGAACGAGAAATATTGTTATAATAAATAAAGCAGAAAGTGCAGTGTTTATAAAATCACAATTTCCATACTATTGGGCAGGAGTATTATAGGAAGTAAGGCTCGTGGGAGCCATGTGGAAATGGAGCTATTGGATATTCTAAATCTTGTCTTGAGTTTGCTGATGACTATTTTAATTACGAAAAATTAGCTATTTATGAAATTTTATTTATCATTTACTTATTGACTCATTACTTTTGGTTATTCAGCATTGTGACTCATACTTAACGTTCTGGGTTTATCTTAATAGAGGCTGATATTACAATTCAATTCAATGCCAAATAGCTTCCTAGTTTATTAGTTTTTGATAAAGCTGTAGATATAGCTAATTTTTTTAAATTTTTAATGGGAAGCCAAATGAGTAAGAAGGAGCTTATAAAAGCTAAAAGAGAAAAATTCAAATGCTAGTAATGAGTCTTGCTCTTCTTATTCTGATGGAAATGGTATAAAAGAATAATTATTAACACAAAACTTTAATAAATAATTAAATTCTTATTTATCAGCTCACTTATATAAAATTTGCATGCTTTATAGCATCGTAAATTTTGATAAGCTCACCCTTTAATAGTTTTAAATATTCACAATAGCTATTTAATTAATAAAATTCAAATTTTAATTATAAATAAAATTAGATTTAAAGGATTATAAATTTATAAATTAAACAAAATTGCAATTTTTGCTACTTCTAACATTTTACTTTAAAATAAACTAGTAATCAAATGCTGCAATCGAGCCCTTTTTATTTCAAAAAAAAAAAAGAAATGCTCGTTTGGTAATCCAAGCCCCTCTATTTCAATATGAAATTCAGTTCAAAATTAAGAGGAAGATTAAAAGTTTAGTAAAAGTATCATTAACATCTGAGATGTCAATTTAAAAATAAAGAATAAAGCATCAAAATAATTTTAAGGAAACTTTATTTAGACACTTATTGAGTTATAAATTATGTTTAGGAAAGAAGTTAAAAATTTAATACAATTACTTTGAATATATTTATTTAATTTAAAACCATTTTTTGAAAAAATCAAGTTAAAATTTATCGAAAAATCAACTAAAAAATGGAATTGAATATTTTTAAGTAGCGTGTATAATGTCAGTATTCAAGTTTTTACGGATCATACTCTGTATGGCCATCCTTGCCAAATCTCAGCTGATTGTTAATATTATTTATAGTTCTTTCACAAATCTAGAGCTTGCTTTGAAAATCTCTTCTTTGCTACTTCAAAACTTTCAAAGTCATATTGACTTTAATCTAACTTATATAGAAACCTCCGAAGATCTAAAGCTGGCTACAGATGCTTCAAATATAGTTTTTGGCCTTATCTATAGTGCCTCTTTATCTGAGCTCATAAAAGAGCTTGCAGAAGAAAAATATTTTATTATCGCTTCTATTGAAGAAACTTCGAGGACATACTCAGAGTGGCAATTTTTTATTCATAATTCTTTAAAGAATCAGATTGAAGCTTTGCTTTCAATTGTTTCCTTTTTAAATTGAGAAACATTTATTGTAGTTTCTGACCAAACTTATAGTGAAGATGATGGATTTTCAAATTATTTTTCTAATAAGAATTATCGGTTATTTTATTTCTCAAACAGTAATGATCAAAGCTTGGCAGATTTATTTATTGGAAAAATAGTTCAAGCCACCGGGATAAGAAATATTGTAATTCTAAATAGAGGGGAAAGTGTAAAATTACTGCTAAAAAGCTTAGAAAAGCACAATTTTCTTAATATTGGGAGTGGAGCTATTATAGGAAATAAAGGGTTTTGGGGACTTTATGGTAACGGAGTTGTTAGTTACTGCGAATCGGGACTAGAATTAGCGGATAGCTATTATAATTATGAAGGTTTAGCATTTGTGAAATTTTTAAAACAGATTCTCAGTTATAGTTCAACATACAACTCTTTAACCCTCAAAGAGTTTCTGAATAAAAATACAGAGGATCATCACCCAGTGTCCAATTTTACTCTAATTAATGCCAAAAATAATGAAAATTTTCTAGTAGGAAAGATTTTTAATGGAATCTTAACACTAATAAACCCTTTAGTATACCCAGGAAATTCTTCAAAAATTCCAAACTCTCCTACTACAGATATTAATATATAAATCGCTGATGGAACAACAAATCCTTTTTTTTTCTCTGAAAATTCAGCATTAAAAATTGCTTATGCAGAGTTTTATGCTTTAGGATTGTGGGAAAATAAGCATGTATTGGACAACTTTGAAATAAAAGTAGTTGATACCGACTGTGGAGTGTCAGTTTATGATTATGATTATGCATATTCCTGCTTTTCTCAGCTACTCAATACTCCTGGAGTGGGTTTTTTAACATCTCTATATCCCTTTATAGCAATTGGATATATATGCATTGAGGTCTTTAAATTTTTCAATACCTAGCATTTCACCATATGCCATATCAAGTCTATCGCAAAACAAATCATCTTTTCCTGAATTTATGACTGTAACGAAAGACGAAAGATTTAACACAGGCGTTATCTTAAATCTTGCAGCAGTTTTCGGCTGGAAACATTTTATTATCATCTACGATGAAGATAATTTAGGGACTTATAATTATTTTGTGGAAAAAATTGCAAAAAATAACATGAAAATTGCAAATAGTCCTGATCTTCGAACTATGGACATGTTCTACACTAGAAATGATTATCCCAAATGAAAAAGCTGATTTGCTAAAATAATTAGCTTAAAAGTGAGACTTTTTTTTATCATTTTAACCCCTCCCTTTTGATTTTATATAGTTGAAAGTTTTTACGACGCAGGATTAAGAAGGGGTGACGTTTTATTTTTATCTGATGCAAGGATGGCTTATTCTATTTTTGGGAAACTGATTTAGTTCAACGAAGAAAAATTATTGAGCTACTGCATGGTACAGTTATAACTGCCCAAGGCGAATGGATTGATGAGTATGGACAAAAAATAAAAAATGGGTTTATTAAAGAATATGGAAATGAGACAGATTTCGATGCTTAGCATTTGATGATACAATGCTGCTTCTAAATGGAATAGAGTTTACTATAAAGCAAGGCCAAAACGTGAAGGATCACCAAGTAATGAATGAAAATCTTAGAAAACTTACTTAATTATTCAGCAGGCAATGCCTGCAGCAAGAACCTTATGGTTCTTTTTTAACTAACCATCTATCTATTTTAAGCTGCTGCGATTTATCACTTCGGCCCAAGAGTCTATCTTCTCTCTCTTTCATTAACCCATGTCGCTTTGCTCTTGAGACCAACACCTCTTCATGGAAAACTTTGATTGCCTTGTCTATTTCATCTATGCTGTGCGTCTCTTCATTCTCGTAACGCCAGTTTAATAAGCTCCGTTCAAGCCGGTGACTATAGAGGATTATTTCAGCCAACCTGATTTTTTCACATGGGTAGCTAATCTGCTCCAACCTTTTTTTCAGCTTATTTCTCTGCAGAGCATATTGTGGACAGATTTCAATTATGTGTTCTTCTGTTTCCTCTTCATAACACACTTCGCATTTTGCTGACTGTGCTAGGTGCCTAATCCATGCATTGTGATTACTAAAATTAAACCCAGCCCTTAGTCTGTGGATTGATCCAATTGCAAGATGCCTGTCAGGGTTGTGTTTTATAAACGTCGGGGTATAGCTATATTCAGCTTCTTCTTTCAACCATCTTCATACCCTCGTCGTTTTCTTTGTCTCTAGTTCTAGCCTGTTTACAATTTCTCTCAAGTTGCATTCGCTCAGTTTACCTTCCAAAATTTGGTCTCACTGCTCCTTCTTAGTGTTTAATATTCTCTCGTCTTCCAAGAATTCGTCTAAGTTAAGATCCCTTATGAAGCGTTGGCATTTTCGCTCTCAAGGAAGGATCTCTTTAATGTTAATGATTTATTTATAGGAAAAGCAATTCAAGCCAGTGGAATAAAAAATCTTGTGCTATTAAATAGAGGGGAAAGCGCTGAATTGCTATTAAAAAGTTTAGTAGAGCAAAGTTTGCTTTCTCTTGGAACTGGAGTTGTTGTTGGAAGCGAAGGTTCGTGAAGTTTAAATGGAAACGGAGTTATTGCTTATGTAGAATCAGGATTAGAAAGTGCTGACAGCAATTTCAATACTCTTATGAAGGTTTAGCATTCATAAAATTCCTGAATCTAATGATTAACTTTTCTTCAAAGCCTGACCCTTTTGACTTACTCGAATTTTTAAATACAAAAACAGTCAATCACTATCCTATCTCCAATTTTATGCTTCTCAATACAGTAAATAACATAAATGCTGCAGTCGGAAATATTTTTAATGGAAATTTGACTATACTTAATTCTCTTACCTTTCCAGGAAATTCTCCAAATATTCCGAACTCTCCAACGACTGCAGTCAATATATGAATGGCAAGTGGAAACACAAATTGGATGTCATCTCCTGATGTTGTAGTGCATGAACTAGCAATTGCGGAAACGTTTGCCCTGAACTATTGGAAAAGTACACATGCTTTAGAAGGTTTTGAAATAA